AACTCTATGTTGTGTGAAACTGTGTGGAGCAGATAGAGCATCGCACTGGGAAGATCTGGGTTGAAATCACAGTTCAGTCATAAAGCTTGCTGGGGGCCAACTGTTTTCTCTCAAACTTTTCCTGCTTCATGTAGTTGCGTGTGTAGGTCCCCAGGCCACCCCTCAAATAACTTCACACATAACACGTAATTTTAGTTTTGGTTTTTGGGCACTATTTTGGCCACAACTTTATTAAAATACAAAATCAGTGAGTGGTTGTTTAGACATTGGTTATGACTATCTGTCCCCCCGCCTGGGACAGAACTGACATCCCGAGGTCCGATCGGTAGCCAGTAGAAGAGAAAGTCAAACTGGGGGGTCATTCGAGCTAAGCGTCGGACCCACGCCGCTCACCCCAGCAGCTCCCCGAAAGCTTGCCTGCCCGGTCCTATAACAAGGATTCCCATAACAGGGATTGGGCGGCCCTGGTCCCATAACAGGGATTGGACGAAATCATGGCAAGCCCCAGGATTCCTTTAACGGAATTCCCTTCAGGCGCAATAGGAGGGGCAGACCCAGCTGACCCTCCACCACCAGCATATTATAACCAATGCCTAACCGCAACCTTACAAGTTGTGACGAATTGCTGAGTAGTAGGCAAAAACCAAATGGCACAGCCATTCACCAAATGGCAAAATTCCTACTAGACCCCCGCTCCAAAGCAGACGACCCCATGACAGGCAAAGCAAGGTCAACCGGAAAGAGGGCGGGCGGGCGGGTGATCCGATGCACTCTGCAAAGAGAAAGAGAAACCAGAGTGCACCAATATTTAAAGACTATGGTCCCACCCACCGATTTGCAACATACAATTTTGCCCCAGCAACCCGGTAACCCAATCATGATGCCAGGCAACAACTATTAACCTGCCTGGCAACAAGAGGCCTGGCCTGGTGGCCCACACCGCAACACGTGCTCTCATTTATTGGAGAACACGCTTTGTGTGAATTAAAAATACAGAGCCACTACTAAAATTCCTGAGCCATTTAGAAGGAGGGGAGATGTTTTTGTAATAAATAAAATGTTTTTTTATTGCTCTGCATGAGGCCTAGCTTCAGACAACATATTGGCCACTATTCACCAGTGAAATGAACCATTGGTCATTTGCTCTTATAAATGAGAATTGGGCATTCCATCACCAAAATGGCAGTTTTTTTAAAAAAGTAGCTGAATGCTCCCCAGAAGGCTTTATGCAGAAATGTTTTTGAAACGTGGGAACTGGATTATTTCACCCATAGGGCAATTCACAGGTTCTAGGGGTTATTTAAGGACTCTCAAATCTCACTGCAAACACTACTTGCTCACCTGGTCAGTATCCATACGAGCTCTAATTTGGCCTTACCAAAAACCTTTGGACTAATCCATACACACTGCTTTATTATTATTTTCCCTCAAGACACCATATCTCTTACATCACTGCTTAAAGGTAAAGGTACCCCTGCCCGTACGGGCCAGTCTTGACAGACTCTAGGGTTGTGCGCCCATCTCACTTAAGAGGCCAGGGGCCAGCGCTGTCCGAGGACACTTCCGGGTCACGTGGCCAGCGTGACAAAGCTGCATCTGGCAAGCCAGCGCAGCACACGGAAACGCCGTTTACCTTCCCGCCAGAGCGGTCCCTATTTATCTACTTGCACCCGGGGGTGCTTTCGAACTGCTAGGTTGGCAGGCGCTGGGACCGAGCAACGGGAGCGCACCCCGCCGCAGGGATTCGAACCGCCGACCTTTCGATCGGCAAGCCCTAGGCGCTGAGGCTTTTACCCACAGCGCCACCCGCGTCCCCACACTGCTTACTGCCTCCCTATACACTTTGTAGCTCTTTTCCTCCTGCTACCTCTGTTGCATCTGCAAAAGTCATAAAATCACAATATGCAGAATAGTTAGGATCAGTGCAATGTATGCATTTCCAGACCCAGCTTCTTTTGAAGAGTATTTCTTCAGAAAGAAGAAAAAAACAACCCCGCATACATTTCATTTAAAAAACATTCAAAGGGGATTGTGCAGGGAAGAAAATAAAAAATAATGAGGTAATAATAGCAGGTTTAGATGCTGGGAAACAGTTCCCTGTGGGCTCAGCTTGCCTCATTGTGTAGATTATATATGGCTTCATTATGAACAAAAAACAATTTACTGTAGAACTGTTTTCTGGAAGGCCATTTTATGCATCATATACCTTGCTGACAGTTTACAACCATTTTTAACCTGTATAAAATTAATTATATTTATAGGTGGTGCCCAGATGAACTGCAACATACTGAACAGTGTGTGTCATTTGCTTCCCCTATTCTTGCACACAATTTCCTGAAACAGACAGCTTCTCGACAGGGGCATAGGGGATGGATGCTGCCTCACACCATTAGAATCCTCCGCAGATTCCTACTGGTGAACTAGCCGAGAATGTTTCATGCTTGTTATTCATCAGGGGGCAGCATCTATCTGTAGTAGTCACTTTTTAAAAAGAAGAAGAAGAAGAAGAAGAAGAATTGACAGTCCAGGGTGCCTGTAGGCATCTTCATTTGTATCAAAACATACACCCAGACAGCTTTATGGCTCTGGGATGGGCACCGTAATGATGGGGTATTCGCATCTACATTAACTCCATGAGCCAATGATTGGATCTCTCTCTCTGGAATCAGGGCACTTGCTATGAAATGGTTCAGTCTGGACTGGATGAATCCCAAACCAGAATTAAGATTGCCGGAAGAAATATCGACAACCTCAGATATGCAGATGACACAACCTTCATGGCAGAAAGTGAGGAGGAATTAAAGAACCTCTTAATGAGGGTGAAAGAAGAGAGCTCAAAATATGGTCTGAAGCTCAACATCAAAAAAATGAAGATCATGGCCACTGGTCCCATCACCTCCTGGCAAATAGAAGGGGAAGAAATGGAAGCAGTGAGAGATTTTACTTTCTTGGGTTCCATGATCACTGCAGATGGTGACAGCAGTCACGAAATTAAAAGACGCCTGCTCCTTGGGAGAAAGGCGATGGCAAACCTAGACAGCATCTTAAAAAGCAGAGACATCACCTTGCCAACAAAGGTCCATAAAGTTAAAGCTATGGTTTTCCCAGTAGTGATGTACAGAAGTGAGAGCTGGACCATAAAGAAGGCTGATCGCCGGAGAATTGATGCTTTTGAATTATGGTGGGTGAGGAGACTCTTGATAGTCCCATGGACTGCAAGAAGATCAAACCTATCCATTCTTAAGGAAATCAGCCCTGAGTCCTCACTGAAAGGACAGATCGTGAAGCTGAGGCTCCAATACTTTGGCCACCTCATGAGAAGAGAAGACTCCCTGGAAAAGACCCCGATGTTGGGAAAGATGGAGGGCACAAGGAGAAGGGGACGACAGAGGACGAGATGGTTGGACAGTGTTCTCAAAGCTACCAGCATGAGTTTGACCAAACTGCAGGAGGCAGTGGAAGACAGGAGTGCCTGGCATGCTCTGGTCCATGGGGTCACGAAGAGTCAGACATGACTAAACAACTAAACAACAACAAAGTGAGATACACACTGAAATGTTGGAAAATGTTAATGAGAACTTTTATTTTGTTTTATCGTAGACTAATGCACAAATGTGGCAAAGTGAGGTGAACATTGGAAAAAGAATTGGTCAAATCATCATCCAATCCTCACTTTGGAGGAAGATAAAGGATTGGGACTTCCACATTGCCCAGTAAATTCTATTCGGGCTCTTACAGATATATTCATGTCAAAATTCCAGTACTGCTCCTTGAAGTTATCATCCAATTAAAAGAATAAAAACCCTTTCCTTACAAGAAACTTTCATGCTGTAGAGTTTGAAATCCTGTCCCAGGTGACCTTTCTGTAAAGTTTGTGTTGATAGGATAGACTGCAGACTGAAACACTATATGCCAAAATATGGGGTTATAATTCATTATAATGCAATGACTTTCCAGAAGGGGAGAATCATCTTTAATAGCATATTATAGCAATCTATTTGGTTATAACACATCAACAGACCAAAGTATATCAAAAATCCCTGAGCCATGCCACGCTTAGGAGCAATTGAAAGATAAGCTTCATGGAGGGAAAGCGCAGTAAATTTGCCTATTGGAATATTTTAAAATCCTTTAAAAATATTGTGGAAAACTCCTGCAAAACCCTTGGAGAGACTGCGCACCCAAGGGCATGATGGTTTGCTATTTCATTTAGCAATGGCCTGCCAGACTGATTGGTGCAAATTTGAACCAATTAACAGAATAACCAGATATTTTACCGAAAGCTTCTATCATGTGTATCAAGATGGGAATACTAGTCTGAGGTTCCGAAATAAGCAAAAGAATGTCATCTGCAACAAACACTAATTTGTGTTCAACTGAATTATGAACTGCTCTATGAATCTCACATTGTTGTCTAATAGCACAACCCAGGGGCTGCAAATGAATATTAAGAAGCAAAAGTGAAAGTGTGTGTCCTGGTCTGGTTCCCTGAGTCAAAGGAAAGGTGGCAGACATATTACCATTCAATTTGACTCTAGATGTAGGTTTATTGTTAAGAAATTGTATCACTTGATTCCTTTCCTGCAGAAGTCCCAGCAAAGGAAGAATGGATACAAAAACTTACGGAATATGGAGAAATGGCAAAACTTACCGAAAGAATAAGAAATCAATATAACAAATTTTTCATAAAAGAATTGAAATGGTTTATTGAATATTTTCAGATTAATTGCAAACTGATAAAAACATTGGCAGGATTATTGTAATAAGCTGAAGTTTCATAAGAGTATATATTTATAGAAGATGAACAAATGAGCAAATTAAGTTAATTTGGATATGCAGAAGAAGAATAAAATAAAAAATAAAAATAAATTTAAGGAACCGTAGAAAGAGGGGGAAGGAAGCCAAGTTTTGAAATGTCAAAATGCTTGTAAAATTAGTGAAATGTATAAACTTGAAAAGGAAGGAAGGAAGGAAGGAAGGAAGGAAGGAAGGAAGGAAAGAAAGAAAGAAAGAAAGAAAGAAAGAAAGAAAGAAAGAAAGAAAGAAAGAAAGAGAAAGAAAGAAATTGTATCGCTTGGAAGTCAAAGCACTGAAAGTAAAAATGTTTCTGAAACGCTTTCTACTCAGTGAGGTAGGAAGTGCATTTCCTTGAGTTGCGTGTCGAGGTCCCCAATCCACCCCCCAAAATAACTCACAACGGACACGTAATTTTTGTTTAAGATTTTTGGCATGATTTTGGCCACAACTTTATTAAAATACAAACTGTGAGTGGTTGTTTAGGCATTGGTTAAGACTATCTGTCCCCCCGCCTGGGGACAGAACTGTCTTCCGGGCACCACCGAAAGACAGTGCGGGGGAAAGCAAGTCGGGGAAAATTGGAGCTGAGTCACAGGCCCTCAATTCTCACCCGCCTGCTCCCCGAAGGCTTGCCGGCCCTAGTCCCATTCCAGGGATTGGACGAAAAGATGGCAAGCCCCAGGATTCCTTTAACGGAATTCCCTTTCCGCAGCAACCATGGAGGGGCAGGCCCAGCCTATCCTAACCCCTCCATGGAGGGGCAGGCCCAGCCTATCCTAACCCCTCCTCCACCAGATTTATAACCAATGCCTAACCACAACCTTACAAGTTGTGACGATTTGCTACGCAGTAGGCAAAAACCACCCAGCCGGCCAATTTGCCAGGTGGAAAAATTCCTACCAGGCCCCCGCTCAAAGGCAGACGACCCCATGACAGGCATAGCAAGGTCAATGCAACAACCCCTTACTCTAGGGCGGGTGGGCGGGTGATCCGTTGCACGCAGCAAAAGAGAAAGTACCAGGCTGCGTGCAGAGTATTTAAACCTTTTTGCCCCTCCCACCAAAATTGCAACATAACTTTTGCCCCAGCAACTCGGCCAGCTAATCACTGACCCCTGGCCATCTTGGAGAACTTACCCAGCAACAGAGGGGTGGCTCAGTAGACCCCACCGCAACACGTGCTCTCCCTGAAGGAGAACACGCTTTGCGTGTCGAGGTCCCCAATCCACCCCCCAAAATAACTCACAACGGACACGTAATTTTTGTTTAAGATTTTTGGCATGATTTTGGCCACAACTTTATTAAAATACAAACTGTGAGTGGTTGTTTAGGCATTGGTTAAGACTATCTGTCCCCCGCCTGGGGACAGAACTGTCTTCCGGGCACCACCGAAAGACAGTGCGGGGGAAAGCAAGTCGGGGAAAATTGGAGCTGAGTCACAGGCCCTCAATTCTCACCCGCCTGCTCCCCGAAGGCTTGCCGGCCCTAGTCCCATTCCAGGGATTGGACGAAAAGATGGCAAGCCCCAGGATTCCTTTAACGGAATTCCCTTTCCGCAGCAACCATGGAGGGGCAGGCCCAGCCTATCCTAACCCCTCCATGGAGGGGCAGGCCCAGCCTATCCTAACCCCTCCTCCACCAGATTTATAACCAATGCCTAACCGCCAATCGAGCCCTTTACGCTCGCCGCCAACCACTCACAACCCCAACCCATTTTTCAACCCACCAATTACCGCATCCAACCAGACATCATTCCCCAGCTCGGAAAGATGTACCCCATCATTGCGGTAAAGGGCCAGAGCCTTGAAGGCAATATCCGGGTGGGAAATCACCAACCCACCCAATTCCGTTACCCTCTTGCTCACTGCGGAATTAATGCGCTTCCTGGCCCTTTCAGCAGCCTTGGGTTGAGAAATGCCCTGCCAATTGATCCTTTGCAGCAATTGTGACCAAAATATTTTAACGGTGGGTATCAAGGTCACCAATTCCTCCAAGTCTTTTAGAATCATGGATCGCAAAGTAAAGCAATCAATCTTTGCCATATCATTCTCCCCCAACTGCACCACAATTGCCAAAGGGGGGCCATGTGAAAACACCCTCTGCTTAATTAGTGGGATGAATTCACTCCACCGCATTCCCCGTCTGGATATCCACGACACCTGTACGTGCTGTGGGAAGCCAAGATCCGGTCCCCTTCCAGACTGCCTCGCTCTGATGCCAGCCCAGTACACGATGCTGTGCCCCACAATCCAAATACTGACTGGAGCGAGACCTACAAGGTGGAGAAGAAGCACACATCAAATACAATACTTCAACAACTCTTCCGCACATAACCCTTGAACGCATCAGATTTCCACCGGCCCAAGTCCTTAATCCTGTGGGCCGACAACCCCCAATGGGCTGCTGTCGTAGCAGCGCCAATGCGAAAGGAATGGGGTGCGAAACCGTAAGCGGGGACCCCACAAGCAGCAATAACCTTACGCATTACCTTGGAAAACTGATGCCGTGCCAATGGACGACCATTTTCGTGAATGAACAGTGGACCCTCCCCTGAGGGCCTCACTGCTAAATATTTCCTCAAATCCTTAACTGGGCAAGGACCCGGCTCCCCAGTTACGGGGAGCCTCATAACTGCCCCCCGACCCAATTGGTCCGTTTTTGAGTTACGCACCACAATTCTCACTTCCACAGGGGATAAACATACATCCTGAAGCAGCAGCCCCCTGGAACCACCACCTTGCCTAGCCTCCATGACCACCTCCCCCACCCGTAATGCGGCAAAGAATGCAATCGAAAAGGCCGCTGAAAAAAGGCGGGCTTCGTACTTAGACCAACAAACAACCCTTAATTTGGCACGCATTCTGCTCAGCAACTCAAAAGTGATAGGCTGCCGAACTGCTTTGCTAGGGGAGCTAGACGACCCCAACCTTCCAAGGCCTTGCGCACTACAAACTTGGCACAAGGATCCTTGTTGAAAAATGATTTACTAAAAAAGGAAATTGCTGCGGAATGAATCCGCAGTGTCCTAGCAGCTCGGCCCAGCTGAAACATATGTGCCAAATACTGTAACACTTGAGAAGTGGAGGGAGGGGAAGATATGCTGCCTGCGACTGACTGGTTAAATTTTAAGAAGTCAGTCCATGCTTTTTTATAAGACCCCAAAGTGGATGAAGAAATGGAGGCGGCTACTCCCTGCAATACTAATTGCTGCCAAGGTTCCAAAGATGCTCCGGGAAATACTCCGGACGCGCCCTTGACTCTGGAGCCAGAGACCTGAATCGCTCCATCTGAAAACGGGATAGAGCATCAGCAATCTCGTTAGATATCCCAGGGATGAAACGTGCAGAAAATACAATATTAAATTTCAAACAATGCAAAACGAATGCCCGCAACAGGGCAGATACCCTGGGGGAGCGAGATGACTGTTTTGCCAGCACGTTCACAACGGCCTGATTGTCGGACCAGAAACAAACTCGGTGGTCCCTGAACTCGTCGACCCATAAATGCACAGCTACTGCAATGGGGAAAAACTCAAGAAACGTTAAGTCCCGCGTGATCGCTTCCCCCTGCCAAGCAGCTGGCCAGCGCCTAGCGCACCATCTACCTTTCCAATAGATACCAAAACCCAGAGAACCCGCAGCATCAGAGTGCACTTGAAAATCATTGTGGAGGTTCAAAACATCCTGCCACAAAGACACGCCATTAAATTCTTCCAAGAATTCTAACCAAATCCGGAGGTCCTCGCGAACCTGCGCAGACATACGCACCCTGTGATGCGGGGCCCTTAAACCCGCTGTAAGCCTAGCCAAGCGTGAACAAAATGGGCGGCCAGGGGCCACCACCCTACATGCAAAGTTCAAGTGTCCCAGCAAGGATTGCATTTGTCGCAAAGTTACCTTCTTTAAAGGAAGCAGCTCCTGTATAACATTCCGGAGGGTAAGTATTTTATCGCGTGGAAGGCTAGAGGTTTGTGACACAGTATCCAATTGGATACCCAAGTAGGTCAATTGGGTAGATGGGCCCTCAGTCTTATCAGCTGCCAACGGTACCCCAAATTCTTCCATAAGGGAAGCAAAGGCTCTCAGCAGTACCACACAATCGCCGGTGTCATGTGCAGAGGCCAATAAAAAATCATCAAGATAATGCGACACGCCTACCAGGCCGGTTTTAACACGCAAGGCCCATTCCAAAAAGGTGCTAAAACACTCAAAGCAGCACATGCTATTGAGCATCCCATAGGCATGGCCTTGTCAACATAAAATTTTCCCTCAAACTGAAAACCTAGCAACCAATAATCCTCTGGATGAATTGGTAGCAAGCGAAATGCAGATTCTATATCGCATTTAGCTAGCAAGGCGCCTGGGCCAAATTTCCTGATCATCTTGATTGCCTGATCAAGAGAAGCATACTTCACTGAACAAAGCTCCGGAGGAATAACATCATTTACTGATGTGCCACAAGGATGAGATAAATTATGAATCAGGCGAAATTCCCCCGGAGCTTTCTTGGGAACAATACCCAGTGGAGATATGTGTAAGTTAGGGAAAGGGGGGTCTGAGAAAGGGCCAGCCATACGATGTAGGGCCACCTCTTTCTCAATCTTCTTGCGCGCCACCTCTGGCATTTCACGAACTGACTTTTGATTAAGGGGATTCCGTGCCTCGGGAGCCGTGGCTACAGGAATCCGAAAACCTAAAGAAAAACCTTCACGCAAATAATTTGCAGCCTCCTTTTTAGGGTAAGCCTGCAACCAAGGAATTAGTGCTGACAAACGCACTGGAGTATAAGCCAGGACCGTCAAAGCACTACTTCCCTGTTCCAGAGGTGGAGGCAGGAGTGACAGCCTTTGGGGGCTGCTGGGAGCCCCCTTTTCCCCCACGAAAGGGCCGCCGACCGCCCAAACAAGTGGAAGCAGGATGACCCCCGGCACACTTGTCACACACATGGGAAAATTTACAGGACTGGCGCTGACAGGAACCCTTGTTAAAATCCCAGCAAGTAAATTTGCGAATGGGTCTGAATGGACCCGCCTTCGGCTTCTGCTGTTCCAGGGCTTTCTTTTCAATGTGTGGAACCACGTAGGTGGTCCACACATCCAAATCCTTACGATCCCAGCGAGCCGAAGAAATCTTAGCTGCCCTGCGTCTAAAATTTACATCATACGCTATCGCAGCCAATTGTCCTGCCATAGTGAAAGCAGAGCGCACAATGGACAAATAGACCATCAAGTGATGTGCTCTGCGTGGATAAGCCATTACTACGATTCCAGCAAAAACCTGGAAGCCATCGAGCCAGCGCTCAAACGTCTTCTCCATTTTCTTAGACCCAGCACGTTTTTTGGAAGAATCGTCCTTCTCCTGAGAATCAGGACTTGCAGGCGGGGGTGCTAATTTAAATATATCCACGTATCGGCCGTTTAAAATTCTAGCCCGCAACTTGGTTGACAAATGAGCCCCAGGTATAATGTCCCTCACAGAATTAGTGGAGACTTTCACCTCAGGCATCAGCACGCCATCACGGCAATCCTGGACCGCACCGTACCTTGCTCGGTGCGAATTGGCCCTCCGTTCCCAAATCCATTTGGGAAGCCCCCCCGCCTCTTCACCAAAACCCCAGTAAAGGTCTAAAGAGGCCTCTGTCTCATCATCAGAACTCGAAGACGTACCAGAAGAAGAAGAAGATGAAGTGTCAGCCCTCCTCCTTTTGGCACGCTTCTTGGTCCTCTTCCTGCGGCGACGATGCCCCCCAGATGATGTTCTCACAGGAGTAGGAAGACTATCCTCATCCGAGGACTCCAAGTCTACTGTCTGCTGTGAAGTACCTGGAACAGACTGAGAAGAGACCCTACGTGAATGACTAGGCCCCGGCAATGCATCCACAGTAGACTGAGTAGGCGAAACCACCCAGCTGGGAGATGCCATAAGGGCTTGCCTCCCAGCCGAACGGCGTGTGGTACGTCTCGGCCCCCGTGAGCCAACCTGCGCAACAGGTAAGACCGGGGGCCGTGATGGCTGAGAAGCCGGCACTGAAACCCCAGCAACTAATGCCTCTCCCCCATCTTCACTAGAAGATGAAGATGCAGGTGAAGATGGGCCAACCGTGGAAGCTGGCCCCCCTGGGGCAGAGGACTGCGTTGAGCATCGCCGAATGAGGCCGTCCACCTCAGCTGCAAGATGTGTTAAAGCTGCTGGATCACCAGCCATCCTGGTTACTAAGGATTGCAGGCTGGGTGCCTGTCTGGTTGGGCCAGATCGCAGCGCCTGAGAAGGGCCTTTTATTGGCCGCTTTGAAGTCCGGGTAGCAGCGGGCCTTTTTGCAGCCTTTTTCGGGGCCATACCTGCTTGAGAAAGAAAAGGAAACCAAAGAAAACTACAATTGAATATAATTAAAATAAAACAAAATTTCAAGAAATTAAATAGCCCCAAGATGCAAAAAGCACGTCAGCCAAACGTACGCCCTCACGACAGTTAGACAACCCCAGAACCAATGATAATTAAATTAACTGAATACAAGAGCCACTAAAGTAACTAAATTATTAAATAAATTAAATCAGATTTTATTTATTTTCCAAAAGGGGTGCAATAAAACCAGCCACCAGAAGGTGGCAGCAGAGGCAACCAAATAGAAATGCCTATTAAAACTAGCTGCAGTTACCCAGATCAGCCACTGGAGGCCACTGTGGGGCGATATTGCAGCAAAATGGCGCTCCCGCCAAAACGGCCGAGCGCAGCGCCCCGAAATAGCTGGGGCAGCACCAGCCCAGCCCAGGCACCAGCCAAAAAGGCCGCAACCGTCCCGGCCTGCTGAAAAAAGGGCCTCGTCGGCAAGGCAAAGCCCGAAGGAGGCCAGACAAAACGGCGCCCAGAAAACTACGCCGGCAACCCAGCGCCCCCGCGGAGAGTGAAAAGGTGAGTCGCCCAGGGGTAAGGGGGGATCGTGGGACTCACTCCGAGCCCCCCAAAGGCAGCAGCAAGGTCCCCGCACCCAGGCAACCCCAGAAACGCTGCTGCGGCCGCCGAACAGCTGATCAGCGGCACTGAGGCTAAGGCAGCTCCCAAACGGCGCTCCAGATGCGCTGCGGTTAAAGCAGGCTCAAAGGAGCCTCGGCCGAGAATCGGGCCGTAGGCTTCCTAAAAAAGACGGCCGGAGCAGCCGAAATTAAGAGGAGAGGGCACTGGGCTGGCAAGGCCCTGGACAACCGCGGGGAAGCCCCAAAATTGCTGTATGGGGCCAACGGCCGCGGCCTACCCCAAAGCCCACCAGGGAAGGCCAACACAAATCCTCCCCCCCTGCCCGGCGACCCCGGCCCCGCCGAGAGGCGGCAGAAGCCGCTAAATTAAAAGAGGGGTCCGATAATGTTAAACTAATAATAAAATTAAATTAAAGTAAAATTAAAAGGCAAAGATAGGCAATTAAAGGAGGGTGAAAGGGAAGGGATAAATGCTGAATACAACCAGTCTCTTCCGCTGTGTCTGATCCGTTGCACGCAGCAAAAGAGAAAGTACCAGGCTGCGTGCAGAGTATTTAAACCTTTTGCCCCTCCCACCAAAATTGCAACATAACTTTTGCCCCAGCAACTCGGCCAGCTAATCACTGACCCCTGGCCATCTTGGAGAACTTACCCAGCAACAGAGGGGTGGCTCAGTAGACCCCACCGCAACACGTGCTCTCCCTGAAGGAGAACACGCTTTACAAAATTCTAAAAAGTAATTTTCTAAAACTGGACTTCATGCGGTGGCTAGCCCTTAACAGGATTTCCTCCTCATAGTATCAGGCACTCAAAAAAGAAGCTGGTTTAATCTAAAGTCTGGATCCTCCAGGCACTAGAGTCCTATTTGTCAATGGGAAGAACTCACAAGGATTGGTCAATCAGCCTCCACCCCTTAGGACACGAACCAATCAATAACTTCCAAGACCGCAAGAGGTATGGTTTATAAAAAGCCATTTGGAGCTGGGCAAGAGATGAATGATGCTCTGGCCTTTGCCTGGGGGACCCTATTCCTCCATTGCTACAAATGAATTAACATTTGAACTGGAAATTCTGGGACAATTAGATTTTTTTTACTGACAACCTCTCTGGATAGACTGGCCTGGAAGCAATTCAGAACATATAAGAGGAATTTGGAGAGGGAATGGAATGGGGTGTAGGAGATTTTTCATTCTAAGTAACAGACAAAACAACACACACACACAAATAATACTAATATTACTGACTCACCTGCATAGAATTTTTGCCATTTTGGAAGCCAAAATGTCAAACTGGCTATTTATTTATTCAATGATGATCACAACCCCCTTCTCCAACAATAAGCCCAGAGCATGTTACAATAAAACAGGAGAAACTCAATAACAAGCCAACAGTGTAAATATATTTATAAATACCAGATAAACTGCCCAATAAAACAATATAGCAGAAGGCCTTCTTGGCAGTCTCACCTTCACTGTGGAATGCCCTCCCACAGATAAAAAATGACACAACTTTCAGAAGACATCTAAAGGCAGCCCTGTATCAGGAAGTTTTTTATGTTTGACATTTTACTATGTTTTTATAAGTGCTATAAGCCGCCCTATTTAACCTCGAATTCTTGGACTAAAATATAAGGTCGGAAACAATGCCTAAAGAAAAACAAGGTAAGGCCGCAATTCTAAACACATTTACCTGGAAGTCAGTACAACTGAACTTCATGGAATTACTTATGAATAAACTTAAATAGGTTTTGCACTGTAAATCACTTTACATGCACAGGTGATGTTATGATAAGCTTTAGTATCACTTTTGGAATTTAGGTAATGGTAAATAAGTACAGCTAGTTCAGTAAATAATAGTAAATAAGTATAGTAGGGTTGCATATTTCAAAAAGTAAAAACCAAAAGGCCGAACAAACATAATTTTTCAATTGACTTGCCTAAGATACAGGACAAAGCACCACATTTCAGAAAGCCCCACCCACGGACATCATTTCTGCCTTTGAAATCCCAGTAGTGTCCGGGGAAATCCAGATGTATGGCAGCCCTAAGTATAGCTAAATAAAGGTAAGGTGAAGGTAAACGCGGGTGGCGCTGTGGTCTAAACCACAGAGCCTAGGGCTTACCGATCAGAAGGTCGGCGGTTCGAATCCCTGCAATGGGGTGAGCTCCTGTTGCTCGGTCCCTGCTCCTGCCAACCTAGCAGTTCGAAAGCATGTCAAAGTGCAAGTAGATAAATAGGTACTGCTCTGGCGGGAAGGTAAACGGCATTTCTGTGTGCTGCTCTGGTTCGCCAGAAGCGGCTTAGTCATGCTGGCAACATGACCCAGAAGCTGTACGCCGGCTCCCTTGGCCAGTAAAACGAGATGAGCACCGCAACCCCAGAGTCATTTGCAACTGGACCTAACGGTCAGGGGTCCCTTTACCTACACCTTTAAAGGATCCCTGGAAAGTTAAGTCCAGTCAAAGGCGACTATGGGGTTCTCGGCTTTCAGGCTGAAGGAGCCGGTGTTTGTCCTCAGACAGCTTTCCGGGTCATGTGGCCAGCATGACTAAACCACTTCTGGCGCAACGGGATACCATGACAGAAACCAGAGCGCACACGGAAACACCATTTACCTTCCCGCTCCAGTAGTACCCATTTATCTACTTGCACTGGCATGCTTTTGAACTGCTAGGCTGGCAGGGAGCTGGGACAGAGCAACGGGAGCTCACTCTGTCGCAGGGATTTGAACCTCCAACCTTCTGATCAGCAAAGCCCAAGAGGCTCAGTGGTTTTAGACCACAGCGCCACCCATGTATTTACCTTCGCCTAGCTAAATGAACAGATTTAATTAGACTTAAACTGATGGATATGGGAAATCGAATATCTGTGATATGGAAGGGCATGTCATTTCAGTGAAATGTATTTAGTATCTGAGAGTTAAACTCTCCTAATTATGCCAGGTTACTTTGTGTCTGCATTCATCATAGTCCATGCGAACTACGGTGATGACCCATGGGCCCTTGTATCCACCCGTGTCAGCAATGAAAGTTTACAGTGAGGCCTCATTGTTGAAGGTACAATTGCTTGGTAATTTTTGATGGGAAAGGGAGATGGTGTCAATGTTAGGGAGGACTAGACCCAAATTTCAGAGTTTTGGGCTCATGATGCAGCTGTCTCTGGTTTCTTCCAAACTAGCGGAATGGATTTCCACAGCGCACAATCCTTTTTGAAAGCACAAACACCTTTTCATTTGACCACAGCCCTTAGTTCTTCTTTGATTATTAGCAAACTTAGCAGTACATTTTTACACCAATTCATTCCCCCCCTCTCCCTACTTTCTGCTTACAGACAATGAAGTTTTATGGAGTGACGCCTGACCAGGAATTAAATTGCATCAGTTTATCTTAAACTGCATCCTGGCAAATGATTGAATCTGTGATTTAATGCACATCAGAGGTTGTAAAAAGCAGGTATTTGGAAGTTCAGATGATACCCATGAATGCAAAGAAACCATTTGATGTGTAAGATAAGAATTCGAGCACGTCCCTTTTGATGTCAAATATGAAAGAGTTCACACTTCGTTAAATGGCACATCAAACGTATGAAAATGCAGCCATTAATCTATATTTCATGACATCCTCCTAACAATACCTACTAGATCTACACTCCATATTGCAAAAAAAGGTGAGAATTGTTTTCATCTTGCTTTAAACCTTGAAGAACAGAACTCTGTGTTATCCACCGAGCTTTCAGAAGTTGACTTTGATAAATTAAGTAACCAGTCATAATGAATATCCAGAGACCGTCCAGGTTTTGCAGAACTTCAGCAAGAAATTGATAAAGAGCTTAAGAAGAAGATCTTGGATTCACACACTCACATATGCTTTAAGTGATTGTTGAAAAACAAATTTTCCTGAAAGTCTAAAAAGTGAAACAAACTCAAACTTACATTTGCATGAGATTGCAGAAATTATATTTTAAAAGCTATCGAAATAGGGTGACTGCCACAAATTAAACACTTTGCCCTGAATGAATGAATGAATCTTTGTTTGTGTCAGCGATCGGCCATCACAATAAAGCAATACAATATACAAAGGATAGAAATAAAAAGTCAATTATATAAAATACATTTTAGGATTTTGAATCAATACTCAAATAGTGGATCTTATTCTAATTGCCCCAGCTAAAAACCTTGCAGCCTTTGCTGTCACCTGCTCATCTTGATCTGCCAAGAGAAAGGACACTGTGGCAGTAGCTGGGTGACCCGGAATGGACGATAAAAGAGGGGTGATAATCTCATTCCTAAAGAGTACAAGCCAGAAGGGCATGCACCACCAATTTGGTACTGCCATCTCCACAGGGACATAAGCGTTTTTCATGTGGGATCTGTTGGAATCATCCCTCAAGTACAGCCGAGGTCAATACATTCAATCCTGTGAGAGTACAAGTGATTCTATATTTTAGGATTGCTAGGTTATGTAGATAGGGTGCCAGAGAGTCGAAATGGGTTGGTGGAAAATAGTCATACCATGGGCAAAATTTCCTTCTTGTGGCCAAGTTGTTCTGACGCTCGATATCATTTAGGCGCTGACAAATTAGACTGTTTGCTTTACAAAAACCCAAAGCTGTTGAGGTGATAAGCCACAAGAGTGAAGTTTGCCCTGAATCAGGGGGTTACAAACTTGTGGTCAGAGGTGTTGCTGGATTCCATCTTTGGCCATTGTCCATGCTGGCTAAGTCTCATGGGAGCTGTAGTCACCTATGCCCTAATAAGCCCATGTTTAGGACTTAACACCTTGTTTCACCACATAACACCACACTGGACTTCCTTTTCCCTATGATGTGTCATGCCTTCTGTGGCAGTGATGTTTGTGATCAGTCATAGGAGAAGCAAATAGTTGGGCATTTATTGGAGCAGGGATTTTAGCCTCCGCCTGATGTATTGCCAAGGCGATATGTCCTCTCGGTTTGCAGAGACTGTATGTCCAAAACAATTTCTCTTTTTTTTTTATAATAATTTTTATTACATTTTACAACAGAAAGAAGAAAAAACACAGAAAAGAGAAAAGAAGAAAGAACAACAAAAAAAAGAAAAAAAAGAAAACCCAACCTTTTCAGCAACTTTTTTCAAATTTCTATCGGACTTCCCCACATCTCCCGCCTAATGCATTCTTAACAATAAAATTTATCAGCAAGTTGTACCCTTGTTTCATGTGTTTCTTTGTACTTCCAATTGCAATTTAAGTTTAAATCCCTTATTCTCCATTTACTCTAAAAATATAGCATATTATTATTTTTACACGTTTAAACTTTGGTTCTTTCATAAATATTATCCAATTTCTTATATAATCCACTCTCCTTGCTGGCGCTAATATTCCAAGTCATACGACATCTCAAAGTTCATATAACTTATAATACTTTTGCAAATAGTCCTTAAATTTTTTCCAGTCCTCTTCCATTGCTTCTTCTCCCAGATCTCGGATCCTGGCAGTCATCTCAGCTAGTTCCATGTAGTTCATCAGTTGC